GGGGGGGAGGGAATGCAATCGCTTTTTTCTTTCTTTTTGTTTCTTGAGAAAACTTTGTACCGACCGAGCAGACTATCACTCTTAAAACGAAACAAAAGCGCTCCTGGAGTCCTGGATAAGAAATCTGCCTGGCTATCCCTTTTTTTATTTCTCTCATTGATCTGAACCTGACCACATCCTCCGTGTTTAGGACATGTATCTTCTTTTGGGATGAGTCGGTGACTCTCTGACCTAACAGTCTGTCACACCCCCTCGTTAACAGTCGGTCACACCCCCTCGTTAACAGTCCGTCACACGCCCTCGTTAACAGTCCGTCACGCCACCCCCTGGTTGACTGTCCTGAACTCTCTCACACCCCCTCGTTGACAAAACGGTCTGTCATAGCCTCCTCCTGTATTGTCCTCTCTCCCTTTTTCCCACCATTCATTTTTTTAGTACATACTTTAATAATACCCGTATACATATACATGTGCTCTACTCAAACACATTCATTTGTTCTCGTCAAACACGTACATGTGGGTTTTTCTTCTTCTCTCCTTTTCAGGTCGAAAAGTTGAGGGATATTTCCTTCTTTTTTTCTGGCCAAAGGGTTTATCTGCACAGGCAGGCGGGCGTAACAAAATTCTTCGGGGGGGGGCAAGGAAAAGCAGCCATGCTTGTATATCGTGTATGATGAAAATCAGATAAATTAATCGGCGGCTTTCTGTGAATTCTTTTGCCATTTTCTGAATTCTTTGATAGTTTGATTGTTTTGTGGATGAATTATGTACCAAGTGAAAAGAAAAGAAAAAGGAGCTATAGCCTATAGACTCAGTGTATATTAAGAAAATTAGGGTGAGCTATAGACTGTACATTAAGAAAATTAGGGTGTATATTAAGAAAATTAGGGTGTGTACACTGTATATTAAGAAAATTAGGGTGTATATTGTCCAGTACGACGAATTAGGGTATGTATATTGTCATGTGTGTCAACTAAAAGAGGGCACTTTCAAAGACAAATGAAGAAGAGAAATACCACCTGTTTGTTTTCCAGCCGACTTTTTTTTCTTTTTCAAGCTGGGCGATGCAGGTGCTGTGACTTGTTAGGGCTGTGTGCTGGTTTCTGCAGGCCGTTGAATTCTGCCAGGGCCCTGTGAAGCGCCGGCAGCNCGGGCCGTTGAATTCTGCCAGGGCCCTGTGAAGCGCCGGCAGCCCCCGAAGGTTGCGGCGCCCGGACGGCCATGTCGAATTAATTTGCCTGTGAAGCATATGGTGGGTCTATGCTCCCCCTTTTATGCGTGCCTCTCATGTACCAGGCTCGCCAAGTTTACGTAGTTGAGCACAAGCTGCCCACATCATTGCCATGTGTGCCATAACGGTCCCCACTTGCATGCTGTGAAGAAGAGGCAGAGTAAAGGGGGAGGGGAGAAGGCAAAGAATGGTTTATACTCGAAGGAAAGGAAGACAAAGCAAAGGGGTAAATACCAAAAAGCAATCGAAGCAAAGGGGTAAAAAAGCATGAGCCTAGCTCAGTGGGTACACCCATGAACTGTTGAAAAAAGAGAGACCTGTGTTCGAATCCAGATGATGGAACTTGACGAGTAAAACCAACTACTAATGAATTGCTCGGGGCCGGTCAGCTCAATGATAATATCTCAAGGCCGTCGCCCTTTTTTTTTTTTTTAAGCAATGAAAGTTTGTCTACCAATTCTACTCAGTCCAATCGTAGTTAGGGGTGCAGCTGATGCGTTGGATTGCCAATTGGCCACAACAAGTTATGTGGAGCAGTCTGCTAGCTACGTAACTGATCGAACGCCCTGAATGCACGTTCTCGGTAAGCCTCCCTTGCACACGTTCAATCCCGCAGGGCAGGGGGTGCGAAAAAATCGAACGCACGACGCCTGCCAGCACGCCCACATCGGCAGCTATCTGGGGGTGCACGGCGTTCTGAAAAATAAAATAAAGTTAAAAAACTTGTGTGTGTGTGTGTTGGATGCATCATAGGTCCACCATGACACAAATCGAGGAGAGCTGCGCTTAAGTATGCAATCAAACTCATACCCGAACAAAACAGTCCACATTGCATGGGAACTACAGAAGGCACACATACCCAGCAAGAAAGCATAAGATTGTGTACACGGCGGCTTCCATCTGTCACCAATCCTTTTTTTTTTCTTTTTTTCTTTTTTCAAATAAATGCTCCAGTCTATTTGTGGGGAGCAGCACGTGCTGGGAACCGGGCCCTGCGTCCCATATTGAATTGTACAGATCATTGAGAAAATTTGAGATCATTTGAGATACCGGGGCNACAGATCATTGAGAAAATTTGAGATCATTTGAGATACCGGGGCCATTACCCGGCTTCGGCTGAGATCAGTCTGTGAATATCTAATGACCTATTAAGGAATTACTCATGCAATAGGCTGCCACAGAGGTCCTACGATGTGAATATCTAATGACCTATTAAGGAATTACTCATGCAATAGGCTGCCACAGAGGTCCTACGAATGCTCACAACCCTCAGGATCCCTAACAAGCCCACCAATCCTACACAATCACAAGGGCTAAAGCCCGAGGGCACCAGGTCATCAACAGGCGAAAGACGTGCAAACAAACAGTGTAAGGTAACAAAGGGAAGGCAGACGAAGGGCGGCGAAGGAAAAGGCATGTCCCAACAAAGCATGCGATGATGTGCAACAACCAAGGACAAAGGCAGGAGGGTAAGGGGGAGGTGGGCACACAAGGGCGTAGAAGGATAGACATAAAGCTTTGAGTGATAAGTTTTCAAAGTGTTGAAAATGCGCTTGTACATGAAAAATGTGCTTCCAATTGGTTAAAAAACCTCCAATCCATTTATGATTTATTTTTGGATTCATTTTTAAG